CCCCAGCGACTCAACACTGCTTTTGTGCTCCAGGGTCACATATAGTAACGAAATGTTTTTTTTGTTTACCTTGAGTAAACATTTGACTTCCATATGATAAGTAATTTAGCTTTTGTTTATGGTGAAATAAATAAATAAATATATATTGTATATTGCAATAAATAAATAAATATATATTGCTGTATCTAAAGAAAATAAATTAAGTTTATGGTTAAACTTAAAGAGCTTTAAAAGTTAAAACTTAAAAGTTTTTATTTTATTTATTTATTTATTTTTGAAGTTGGTCCAAAGTATGCTTCTTTTCAGTGTGTACACTGAAAAATATGATCGTGAATTTAACGGTAAAAAACTGTAAAAATGTTACAGTAAAAACCAGCAGAACTTCACTATCAGCTCATCGTTCTGTTTGACTGTGTGGTGATCTGCTCCTGTTTGCTCTCGCTCATCCTCTGCACACGCTCAGTCTACAACGGCATGCTCTTGCAGTTTGTAAGTCTGATATGGCCGTCTCATTAAAGGGATAGTTCACCCAAAAATGAAAATTTGCTGTTAATTTAGTGTTCAGTTTCTTGCGCAGACCAATCGTTTCACTTCATAAGACTGCACTGTAAAAAATGACCATGAATTTAACGGTAAAAGACAGTAAAAATGTTACAGTAAAAACCTGTTAAATGGTTAACGGTAAGTTCCCGTATTAAATACGGTGAAAAACTGTGTTGGACATTACATGTAAATTTGCGGTAGTATACCGTTTTTGGAAGTGAAAAAGACCGTATAATTTACAGTGAATAACCGTAAATTGACATTCCCAGAATTCCCTGCGTTACATTTGTTAAATGAATGTTTATTGCATTATTTCAGTTTCATGTGTGTTACCGTGATGGTGTTTAGTGTTTGTGTGAATGACACGCTGTGCATCTTCTATATATGTTATTATTTAAAAGCTGCTTGTGATGGGCTTTGGTTCATCATGTGACTTTCTCATCACCTCCTGCATTTGGTGGTTATCAGTGTATTACAAAGATACAAAACAGATTTCAGTACTTCAATAGGTTGGTACATTAACATTATATCAGTTAATGAAATTACGGTATTAGTACGGTTAGTAAAACCTAAAATGTTGCTACCGTATTTTTTATGGTAAAATTCCGGCAACCACAGCTGCCGTTTTTTTACCGTAAATATGACAGAATTTTTTTTTACAGTGTAATCCAAAGCACTTACCCTATTGATTATGTACAGGATGTGGTCATGAACCTCGTGTCTTGTGTACAAGGCATAATCTTGATTTCTGTCCTGGTAATTTTTCAGGAAAAGATGTTTGAAGGCGATGATATTTTCCTCTTTGAAGGTGACCGTCATCTCATTGCTCAATCCAAAAGAAACTAACTGTGGAACAAATACGACACGCACGCAGATCATAATCAATTTGATAAACAATATCATCAAGAACAGCTTATCTAGACTAACAGTAAATGAAGTGTGAAATTGAGCTTTGAAATAAGACACATGGTCACAGTCATATTTCCAGTTTTACGAAACAATTGAAATCTAAGGATGGTGAGACGCATGAGAAACTAGCCTACTACATATTAAATGTAATGCACTCTGAAAATGAAAGGATTTTCATTGATTATTGAATTAATCTGTGTAACTTAATAGGTTCTCCTGATGTGGCAGGCTACAGCTAACAGACTACTAAAAACTGATTACTTAAGAGTAAATATTTAGAATACCGTGGATTTCAGCATTAAACTAACTTATATTGATTATTCAAAAGGCAGTAGTTCTGGAGTAAATCCCATACCTGGAAGGTAATTATGACAATCTTGAGTATCTGCAGCATCATTTTCCACGGCTTACGACCTCTGGCTCTGTACTTCTGGCATGGACTCATGAAGAAATATTTCAGTTTTCTCCTGAAGTTTTCCACATACTGAGGGTCCACCTGGGATTTAGTTGTTCTGTGGCATGCCGGGTGATTATTTGGACCACCAGACACAAAATGCTCTCCGTCAGACATTGTGCCAGCTCACTCTGAAATCAGGACGACGGACTGACTCGACACTTAACACACAGTTTTTTTTTTTGAGGAACTGAAGCTGTTGTCTCGCAGTTTTCAAACTGGTAGAACCAGAGCTCGTCTTCAAGTTGAAGTGCTGCTAAAAGGTCTATCAGATCATTTCACATTTTTGCCGCGCATCAGATAATATGCAGATAAAACATTTCTGAGCAGGTTGTGCAGCATTCACTTCATTTGTCTGCCACCACTTGTGGGTGTGGATGTAAAAATATAAAAAATAAGAAAATGCTGCAGCAACTAGCCTACATGAAGTCTCATCTTTAAATGAGAGGTAAATAATTCTCTTTAACATATTTGTAACACATTTTGTAATAGTGAGTGGAGTCAACCAAGCTGCGAAAAGGGCGTTCACACTTGAAATATAAACCTGGGTTATCTTGCCTCATGTTTCA